AAAAATAAATACTATCCAAATAAATTGTGCCTCCTAGATAGAGTGAATTTAATTGTGGTTGAATGAGAAGTATAAATATATATAATTCTCTTTGCTTTTAATTCTCTATTTTCTGGCTGTTTAGACAGTGCAAGTACCAGTTTACTCTGAGCAAGAGTATCAAATGCATCTCCACGACGATGGCTGGACTAAAGCGGAGACAGATCACCTGTTTGACCTGTGCAAGCGCTTTGACCTGCGTTTTGTAGTTGTTCATGACCGCTATGACTACCAGCAGTTTAGGGTAATTTTTCCACTCCCTTACATCCTGCACTGCTACAGAACAGAAAAGAAAAAAAAATCTCAAAATGAAGGCATGCGTCTGAATTAATTCTCCCCTCAAAATGTTTAGAAACGCTCAATAGAGGACCTGAAGGAACGGTACTATAATATTTGCGGTAAACTGACCAAGGTCCGWGCGGCATCTGGGACAGAGCCCAAGATCTACATCTTCGATGCTGGCCACGAAAGACGCCGCAAAGAGCAACTGGATAAACTCTTTAATCGCACACCTGAGCAGGTCAGTAACTTTCAAATTTGTATCTGTGTCATAAAGCAGCTGTTCACAACTTAAATACAGCTGTGGACTGTTTTCTTAGTATGAAAATGAAAATTGCACCTTCCTGGTTTCATCTGCAGGTGGCAGAAGAGGAGTATCTCATTCAGGAGCTAAGGAAGATCGAGAATAGGAAGAAAGAACGTGAGAAGAAAGCCCAGGATCTGCAGAAACTTATAAAAGCAGCCGACACAACCACAGAGTTGAGGCGAGCTGAAAAGAGGGTCTCCAAGAAGAAACTTCCACAAAAAAGAGAGACTGAAAAACCGGTGCGTGAYGCATTCACAACAGGGAGCAAAGCTATTTTTTTTTTATAAAGCTAAATTCCAAAATCATTATTAGTTAAAAAGTTCATTTAACACAAGTCTTTCAAATTTAATGAGTCATTTCATATTATTTTGTGCAAACAACTGTAACCTGTGTTTAAGTTTGTTTCCAGCTGTATAAAAGCAAGATTTATTGTTTTCATTTGATATTTTCCGTGTCCATCCAAAGTTCAAAAGAAAYCTGTCTTAATGAGTTGTTTCTTCTCCAGGCTGTTCCCGAGACAGCTGGCATCAAGTTCCCAGATTTCAAATCAGCAGGCGTGACGCTGCGCAGTCAGAGGGTGAGTGCGATGTGTCCTCGCAGGTGTATCACAAACACAAAACTACACCACAGCGTCGGCTTTAAAACATCATCACAGTTCCATAATCTTTATTACAAAACTTAAAACACTTCTGTGAGACAGGAAAAAAACACTAAACTGTACTCTGTGGTCATTAATTTTTCTGTAGATTTTCATCAAATGCAGACGCTCTGTGCTGTGGACTTTAACCCCATAAAAAGCTCAAATGTGAAAGATCACATTTTCGGTTTGCCTAGTAATAACATCCGAAGAATTATAGCTTCACGCTGCCTGTGATGTATGTGAATAACTGRAGTTTGACTTTAGGTAGCTATCTCTTATTATTACTGCAATGATTTAATATGTTCCTGTAGAGCTAATATCTGTAAAACCAGCAAGATGACCCTTATTCATCTTAAAGACTGATGAGGAGCTGCTGCTCTCTATGGAAAATGCATTAGCACAGCTAAAGAAGTGGTGAGCCCCTGTAGCTAATCAGTCAGATAGAGTTCAGTGGATAAAGACGTTTTGATCTGGCCCACTGAAGTGCATTTCATACGAATTAAAAGCCCCGAGGTGGGGCTGTTTATCCTAATATTTCTAGTACCTTAAATCACGGTCCTGTGTTGGTGTGTGTGTGTGTGTGTGTGTGTCGGTGTGTTATTCAGATGAAGCTGCCAAGCTCGGTTGGCCAGAAGAAGATCAAGGCCATTGAGCAGATTCTGGTGGAGCAAGGAGTGGGTGAGTATGAATAAACATTAGTAATTTACCAACATTGCAGAGTTTTACATTTTCAACACCCGTCTGCACCAAACATTGGTTATAGTACAGCAGAAAAAAAAGTGACGTTTAAAAAAATGGGAAAATGATACTTTAAGAAATTAAAGAAAATTGAAAGTGTAGGATGGTGGTTTAACATATGGGATTAGGGCTKGGCGATTATTTGATCGTGATTATTGATCGAGAAAAAATTCTGGTCGATCACAGTGATCAGCTGTGAGCCTCTTCCTCGATCAAACATGGCGGAAATGTGCGTAACAACAGCCAGTCAGAATCCACCTTCTCCTGCKCCACTTCTSTTTATAAGTTGTTAATGAAACRCAGACGGAATCGCAGAAYTAACTAAACAAAATGTAAGCCAGTATAAAACRCTGAATCTCACMGARTTYGCTTATTTGGGCATGTTTYRGAGGTATTTTGACCACTGTTGCTTCCTGTACCTGCTGTTACCTRCTAACAGTCATGCAGGGTGAGCTCTGAGCTCCACTCCCAACACGGGGAGAGAGAGAAGGAAAAAGGAAAAGAGAGCTGTGGTGCGTGTCTCGCTAAAATAAAAGCGTCTTCCAAAAATATGAAGCGGTCTCAGGGTAACGTTTAGGACMGAACAATGTCCCAGCGGTTCTTCGTTTATCTGGAGAAGAACTTTTCTGTAAGTTTTATCGGCACACGATSGGCTGGACGWGACGTGAAGACCACTTCCTKTYTGAGTCGCATCACAAACAGCAGCTGAGAGATGCTGCAAACTCTTGAACACTCAGAAGCTGGGAGTTTCTCCAACATGTTGTCGTGTGCAGAATCAGATATTCTTTCAGAGAAAATGAAACAGCGTTGTTTGATAAAGCTCTGTAAACAGGAGGGGGTCGTGGGGGTTCGGGGTTCCTTCCATAACAAATGTAAATAATGAGCTTAGATCCTATTC